CAGGCCTCGCCGAGGCTGCAGGCACGGCGGGTGGGAAGGCGGCTCAGACCTGACCTTGGCTGACGAGAACGTGACACACACAGGTGTGCTGAGAAGCCCGTGAGGGAGCACAGACGCCAAGAGAAAACGGCTGAACAAACACAAGCTTTAGAAGCAGATCCCGCTCAGTTACCTCCTCGCAATTCCAGACGGTCGTTTTTCTGCTCCATGTACAGCTCCTGGGCCATTTTCCGGTACTTCCGGAAGTCCTCCATCATGGTGCGCCGCCTCTCCACCAGTTCCTAGGGGTGGGGCCGGGCGGGGCGGGGTTAGAGCGGGCACTGCACCCAGCACCCTCCCGACCTTGCTGCACCAGGAGGGTCGCAGCAGACGACGCAGGGACACTTCCCTTAAAGGGCCCGCCGGGAGAGGAGTGGTGGGGTGCTCCTTCCCGTCCCCTCCCCTGACTGCCCCACCCCACAACTTCTGTATCTGAAAGCCAGTTGCCAAGAGGGTCCCAGGCCCAGGCCCTGCCCCGACCTACAGGCGGCACAGGGAGCACCCTCCATGGAGAAGTGACTGCCCAGGGGACACCCTCTCCCTCCCCACAAGCCAGACACTGGCCCCGCTCTGCCATGAGAGACGGCGGCCATCTGTGGCCTTTCCCAGTCCAAGGACCACACTGACCTTTGAGGCTTTGGACTGGCTCAGACGATCCTTCTGTTCGAAGATCTTGGAGTATTTCTTCAGATCTTTTCTAATTTGCTGAAACAAAGACAGGTCCCTTACGACTTACGCACACAAAGCAAGACCCACAAATGCACCTTCCATGCTGCCAACATGGAATGACACCCCAGCGACCGACGGGCACAGCCTCCAAGGCACTCAGCGTGGCTGGGCATTGGCTCTCAGGTCTCGCAGCAGCGGGCCTGTCCTCCCTTCCCGGGCTCCATCCCTCAGCCTTGTCCTCACACCCTAACCCATTGCAGAGCTCCCCATGCGGACGTGAACCCTGTGGGGACGTGGGCACAGCCCCTTCCCAGTTCGCGCCCATGTCCTAGAGGGGTGCTGACGGGCCTGCGGCTCCTGAAGCTCCGTGACTGCCCTCAACTGCTCTCCCCCTCGGTGGTTCCTGCTCGGGCATCCCTTCCCAGGGTCCCCAGATGTCACCTTGCTACTCCTCGTTGCCACCCTCGCCCGCCGCAACCCGCTGGAGAGCAGACCTTTATCTGGTCCTGGCTCAGGAGCGTGGGGGGCCGGGGCCTCCACAGCAGCTGGCAGAAGCGATCCTTGTTGTTCTTCTGCAGGAGGCGGCCCTGGAAGGTCCACAGCCAGTACGCATTGTCCACCTGCAAGAGGAAGGCGGTTCTGCTACCCCAGCGACCGGGTCCGCAGTGGCGCCCGAGCCACACACCCACCTCACTCCAGGCCCGGCCAGCATGGCGCAATGGTTGAGCGTCAACTCATGACCCAGGAGATCACGGTTCGATTCCCGGTCAGGGCACATGCCCGGGTTATGGGCTCGATCCCCAGTGGGGGATGTGCAGGAGGCAGCCGATCCATCATTCTCTCTCGATGTTTCTCTCTCTCTCCCTTCTGTCTGAAACCAACAAAAATAAGTATTTTTTTTAAAAAGCCTATCCCACTCCTCACTGGTCTGCAGGCAGATGGCGCCTTTGCTGGCGGTACCTGGGGACACGGTACCTGCTACCATGCGTGCCTCACTCTGGGGCAACCCTGTCAGGCAGCGCTGCGGAGCACGTGCAATTTAACAGCGTGCCGAGGCGGCCGGCTGAGCTGAGGGCACAGCCACGGTCCTGGCCAGGATGTAAAGACACTGCTTTGCAGCGTGTTGACCAAGCCCGCGTTCCTGAAAGTTCATGACTTCACTCGACAGAATCACCTGAATTTGACCACAAGCTGCGTGACCAGATGACAATGGTCCAAACCAAAAACTGCTTGGGAGAGCCCTAACCGGTTTGGCTCAGTGGATAGAGCGTCGGCCTGCGGACTGAAGGGTCCCAGGTTCGGTTCCGGTCAAGGGCATGTGCCTTGGTTGCGGGCATATCCCCAGTGGGGGTTGTGCAGGAGGCAGCTGATGGATGTTTCTCTCTCATCGATGTTTCTAACTCTCTGTCCCTCTCCCTTCCTCTCTGTAAAAAATCAATAAAATATATTAAAAAAAAAAAACTGCTTGGGAGAGAAGTAACTGCTGGGAGCACACGTGCACCCCACAGCGAGTGGCCCAGGGGAATGCCCAACCACAGGAGGCTGCAGACCGGAAAGCTGCACCACCGACCCCACACCGAGACCCGCTGTTACCAGGAAGACGGAGCCTGACTCGGGAGAGCGCGACCAGGACCGGCACCTTTTATGGAAAAGGCTGATGCCTCAGGCCTCTGGTCAGGTACAGACGGCCCGAGCGTCACGATGCAGAAGGGACACGCACTCGGGGGAAACTGAGTTTCAAGCTCTGGACCCTCCCAGGGCTAGTGCGCCCGGCGCGCTCCTCTCTGACGCTGGACGGTGGCAACTGCCCGCTTCAGGCCATGTGAGTGCTCCCTGCACGTGTAGTGGGCGAGGCTGAGCCATGCTGATTGGTGGGCACTGCCCACTATGGTACTGCCTGGAACAGCCCCCTCATGAGTGAGAAGCTTCTACGCTGAGGCAGCTGGAGCTGGGCCCAAAGGCTCAATGAACTTCGGTATCAGTAGCAACGCCCGCCCACCTGAGGAGTCAGCCACCAGCCCAGCACCACTCGGTCTCACAGTAGGCAGCTTGGTCCCCATACCTTGTGGCTCCACCAGGACACAGAGGTGACCACGTAGCGCCCAGTCGGGTCCCACTCCACGTCGGAGGCCATGTAGTGCTCTGCAATGTTCATGACGGTGCAGTCCGACGTGTCCACGAATGCCAGGGCGCCGTTCATGCTGGTGAGACAGACAGACAGATGTCCTCACCGGGAGCCTCCCACACAGTTCCCCCGTGTTCCAGGGCCCGTGGAGGCCCCGGGTGAGGGTCCAGGGCGTCCCCTAACCGCTGCCGGGCTGTTAGCATGGACATAACGGAGATAAGGATGCTGCTGAAGGCTGTCGGGCACAGGACCAGCCTGTGTCTGCGGCACGTTTCATAGAGCAGGCCAGCGGTGTGCGACGAGCCTCCGGAACCACAGGGGGACAGCCGCTGGAGCGCCTGCGCACATGGGCAGGGCGCTGAGGGTCCTCGCCCCCATGTCTGCTGGAGGAGCAGCTAAGCAGGGGCAGGGGGCTGAGAGGGCCGCCACGAGAGCACGGTCATGCCTGGGCCCCAGTCTGGAGCGTGCCCCAACACTGTGCACCCATCTGCCCCACACACCAAGGCCGGGTGCCCGTGCACATGAGAACGCCAGAGCTCAAGGATTCAGCGGTGTCACCGCTCGGAACCCAGCGCAGGAGGCGTGGCCTGGGGTTGGGGTTGGAGTTGTGATTGGGGTTGGGGTCGGGGTCTGTGCAGCGGCCCAGAGCGCTGCTTGGGGATCAGGCGGACACTCACCTCCTGAGACCGGCCAGCACCACGAACTGTCCTTGGGGGCTCCAGAAGATGGTGTTGGCCTGCTGCTTGTCAAACATTTCTGAAAGGAAGGAAGCGGCTGTGAGAAGTCGTGCTGCAGGCGCAAGGGCCAGCGTGCAGCCAGGACCGAGGGGCTAGGGACTGGCACGTGCCCAAAGCTGAGAAAGCAGCCTTATCCACGCAATGCCAGGGCAGGAAGCTGAAGTGTAGACACGTGTGAAGGAGCCACGCAGGCCCCGCCTGTCCATGGATGTGACACGCCCACGGAACCACGTGACCACAATGGGTCTCCCAGTGGCAGGCTCAGGCCTGCGCAGCTGCCCCAGCAGGTCCCCCACAGCCGACTGGCTCACCCCTACAAGACACAAGACAGGCCAGGCCACCTACTGATGAGCTCGATCTTGCCGTTGCTCTTCACGTGGTAGAAGGACACGGATATCCGGGGGGTCTCCCCGTGCAGCACCGCGAACTTGCTCCCGTTCGGCTCCCAGGCGAAGGCGATGATGGGCTCTGAGGAGACAGCACCTGGTCAGTTACAGCCGGTCTCACGTACACTAAAAGGACCACCGAGCAGCAGGGGGAAGGCGCACCGGCGCGGCGTCCACTGCAGCTCGCTGGCCCATGCACCTCTGGCCAGTGGAAAGGCCCACCCGCCCACTGTGGGCTGTGCGGCCGTGGCTGTGTCCTTGCCTACCCTCCGTGGCACACAGGGTCCCAGGGCCTCGTGAAGGGCTGCCCTCCTCCCCGGGCAGGAGGCCGGGCCTTACACGTTCTCCTATCTCTGTGCTTCCTCCCACCCTCTTCCTGTCTCTCTCTCCAGCAAAACAGAAACAAAACAGGACGCAGGCGAACTGCCACCCAAAGGCAGAGACCCGGCCTTTGCACAGTTCTCGTGGGTCCGAAGAAGGTCCTCAAACGGACACTCGGATGTGATGAGCTCCGCAGCTAACGACCCAACATGGCTAAGACCCGCCTCCCCGTTCTCGGCCAGAACCCTCGCGCCTGTGCTCGCTGAGCGGGCACAGCGGTGAGAAAAGCGGGGGCAGCCTCCCTTGGCCACTGGAAAGGTTACGAGACTGAAGCTGGAAAGGACAAAACTCCTGAACGTACAGCATGTCTGTAGCTCAGAGACCCACGCCCTCAGGTCACTGCCACAGCCTGTCCTGGCGCCCGCCCCAGCTAGGCACTCACACCAGTTCCCAAGGCCGCTCAGCACCAAGGGCCCCAATGAACTTGCCTTTCATTTCCACCACATCGACAGGCACCTGCTTTTCCCTCATTCGGAAAATTTCAAAATTCGTGACAACACCCTGTTAAAAAAAAGGGGGTGACAATGTGGAGACCTCCAGTGTGAGGAAGACTTAAAGGACAAGTGGGGTGGTCACAACACCCTCTTCATGACACAGGGCCCTCAGTGGCTGATGGACACCGGACGGGACTGTCTTGGGAGAACTGGACTCTCTCCCTCTCTCTCTGGCCCAGACTCTACTACAAAGAACTGCCCTAAAGGTCACGTCACACGCAAACCACACACAAACCGTCCACGGATCTGCAATGCAGCCCGTCTGCAAGATTTCACGCGCTCAGAGAAGGCAGCAAGACCCAGAGGCCACGCCGTGCGGTCCACTCCCTTGCAATGTACCCATCAGAAGATCCAGACAGAGGGAGGGGCAGAGCAGGGTGTCAGGAAGGGAGTGGGGAGTGGGAGCGGGTGGCTGCTAACGGGGGTGGACTTCCTGTCTGGGATGAGGAAACGTTCTGGAATTGAGACAGTGGCGACTGTGTTTCGCAAGTTGGTGAAAGCCACTGAAGCGCCCCCTGGAAGGCTGAGGGTTATGGTACGTGGATTGTATCTCAATGAAACAGCCTGTAAAGGGAGGGGAATACGTCCACTGGAAGGGAAAAGCAGGCCGTTTTGTAGGAAAGTTCACTGTCATGACGCAAACCCAAAGCAGAACCGAGTCAAGCAGGCCCTTCTTTGTGCTTAAAAATATTGAGAAACAATCTATTCCCTTCACCTCCAGAGAAGAGGGGGGGAGCCTGGAGCCGCATGAACAGCTGGCCCGCGAGCAAGGCAGGAGTTAGGGGCCAATCTCGCGCAGTCAAAAACCCACATCTAACTCGAGTCCCCCACACAGAACGAGCCGTCCCTTAGTGCCCACAGGGCCTGTGGCAGGGCCTCCGGCTGCTCGAGCCCGTTAGAGCGAGGGTGAGGACCAGCGCCCACAGCCCCTCCCAACGCTGCTGCTGATCTGCGGCTGGTGGAATTGCAGGTGTGAAACCCGGGACGGAGGCGGCTGGGTCTCGGCTGGGAAAGGCCCACGTGTACGTGGGCCGCGCAACCCACACCCCGTGCTGTTCGTCAGCTGTGTTCCCATTGACTCTAAGCCACGCGCGCATCTCACCCACTCCGTTCTACAGATAAAGGACACTCCTCAGCGAGATACGGCCAGAGAGCTTGCTACAACCTGCCAGCTCCCTCCTCCTGGGATCAGGTGGGCCTGACGATAACCCACAAACTCCAGCCACGCCTCCACTAGCACCTCCACACCCCGAGCCGGCGCAGCCCCGGAACCAGGACCGCCCGGCCCCGCGCACCTGGGTGCCCTTGGGCGTCCTGTCCACTTTCACACACAGGTAGTCCCCGTTCTTCTGCCAGTGCAGCTTGCAGTCCACCACATTGAAGAGGTTCCTGACCCGGATCTCCTGTCGGCTGGGCAGCTGCATCAGGGTCACCCGTGCGGGAATATCCTTGTCTTCGGGCACCCAAAAGGCTATGATGTTACCACCGGGGGACCAAGAAAAGTCTCTGCGCGACAAAGGAACCACCGTCACCAGGATGCCGTCACCGGGGGCAACGGCAGAGCTCACAGCAGCAACCCTTCGTGGGAGCGCACTGCCTGGTGCTGCTCTAGGACCTGGACATTTCATCCTGGGGCAGCCCGGACCCTAAACTCTCTCTGCCAGGGAGGAAGAGATGCTGACAGTGCCGCCCAGCGCCACGGCCCCTCCGCCAGGACTCACACCCACCCGACCACTCCCGGCGCTGCCAGCAGGTTCCACCCCTTTGAGGCTGACGGCCGGGCTCTGTGCCTTACAAGGACCCAGTAGGAGCTGAGGAAACCCACAGCAACAAGGGAGGAGCCGCGGCTGGAGGGAGACTGTGAGTTCGTGCTGTGAGCACCATCTTTACTTCTGCGTTTTCGAGAACCAAGTACTGGCTTTATTTTCAACATAAGCCATAATTTTACCCAAAAATGTAAGAAAGGCCCAGCTAGCATGGCTCAGTGGTTGAGCACTGACCTATGAACCAGGAGGTCACAGTTCGATTCCCAGTCAGGGCACATGCCTGGGTTGCAGGCTTGATCCCCTGTAGGGGGCGTGCAGGATGCGGGCAATCAATGACTCTCTCTCATCATTGATGTTTCTACTCTATCCCTCTTTGAAACCAGTAAAAATCTATTTAAAAAAAGAAAAGAACGCAGGGAAGGAAGGCCAGTTTAAGAAGCTCCGTGACTGCATGGACTGTCTCGGGAGAACAGTCCTTGGTGATTGGCACAGCGAGGACCTCATTGACCTGAGAGGTGAGATGGACTTCCCTTCACTCCACCGGCGAGACTGCTGCTCATCTCCCGAGACAGTTCTGAGAACAGAACTTTAAGAAGCGTGACCCGGCACGGCGGCACTTCAAGGCAGACACTGACCCACCCAGAGGCTTCAGAGGAAGGAAAGGCCGTTCTGACAGAGGAGCTGCGACTCACCAAACGCCCCCCAGACCACGTAGCACGGAGCCCTGTCACTACGTGGAGCCCCTGCTCCACCGTGTGGCCCTCAGGAGGCACCCCGTGCGGGGAAGGGACACGTCGCCCAGGCGGCACAGGCCGGGGCCGGGGCCGGAGAGCGAGAGGAGCGGCTGGAGGAGCCCCACTTACTTGATGCCGGAGATCTTCAAGCTCTTCTTGTCCAGGAGGCCCATGGACTGCAGGAAAACAAGGGTCACAAGTGACTGAACAGGCCAACGTCTCAATAATGCAGTGTTTTTACAGAAAGGCAAGCGGAGGTTCCGATGGGAGCTTGCATGAGCAGAGGCAACAACTCCTGAAACCGTCCACGTTTCCCAGCCACCTCTCCGCCCCAACCCTCGGAGCACAACAGGGGCTGGCAGAGAACGACCAGCCCAGGACACACCGCTCCACCACGCCCGGGTCCAGGGAAAGCCCACCCGAGCCGGCCCCGCTCATCCCGGGATAATGCAGTCCATCACTCACAGGCGTTTCATAGATGCTGAGGGTGTCGAGGGTCATCCGAGCAAAGAATTTACCATCATGGCTCCACCTGAGACAAGAAAAAGACCAGTGCAGGCTCTGCCCACGAGCAGCCCCCGAGGTCGCCAGGCTCCCACTGTCCACCTACTTGAAAATTGGCCAATGAGCGGAGTTTTCACAGTGAAAGCCTCTCTTCTTCTGGCCGGTAAGGATGTCCCAGATGATGATGGCCTGGGGGTCATCCTGTGTGTCCATCAGGGGGCTGAAGGTCACCAGGTATCTGTAACAGAGGGGGACACGTTTTATTTATTTAAAGTAAGTTTTTGTTGATTTGAGAGAGAGAGGAGAAAGAAATATTGATGAGTGAGAACCTTCCATTGTCTGCCTCCTGCATGCCCCCTACTAGGGATCGAGCCTGCAACCCAGGAGGATGCTGGGTGGCTGTGGACCATGGCCTTCAAGGTCCTCATGTTCCACCCACTCCCCCCACAAAGCTACACGGACTATCACACACAGGAGGGATGTTCGGTCACAAGAAAATGATCTGCAAAATACATGATCTTGGACTAGATCCTGAACTGAAGGGGGAAATTTTACAAAGGACATCACTGGATCAAGGGATAAAGTTCTAACAGTAATTGATGTTAAATTCCCCGACGTTAACGACGGCATGTGGCTGTGTAACAGTCCCTTTCCTAGCAAATGACTCGGGGGAGAGGGACGCGATCCTTCCACTTACTCCCAAAGGCTCATGAAAACATTATGCTCATCTATTTGGAGAGAAAATGACAAAGCAACCAAACCACACGTGAACTGGAGCACTCGGCACAGAGCACACAGGAGTTCTCAGCCTCCCGCCATTTCTAAGGGTGAAACTACAGCACAAGAAGTCTCTGCAGGCGGCCAGCAAGAGCTGAAGGGAGCAGATGCCAACCGCACTTCCCCATGGGCTTACCTTTCGCAAGGGGAGAAGTCAATGAGCTGGACCCCCTGGTGGCTGAATCTCTGAATCTGTTTGAATTTCTCTCCCCCCCAGAGAGCAATGCCTCGCTGATGGAAGGTGGCTAGGTAGGTGCCCTTGGGAGACCAGCGCACGTACGTCTCTGTCCACCGCTGTGGAGAATGCAATGCCACCATTAACGCAACAGCACAGCCAAGCGCACACTCCTAGACAAGCCCCGGAGACCAAGACCCCTCCCCTGCTCTGGTGCCCAGCTCCCTCCCCATGTGGCAGCAAACACCCACCGCTCTCTCCTCAATCGATACGGGATCCTTCACATCATTCCAGAATATGGAGGTGCGTTCTCCGCTCTCGAAGATCACACTGTACTGATCCCTGCACTCCGCCTCCTCCAGCCAGTAGCGCAGATTTCCCTGGAAGAAGACCGAGGGCGGGGTCACATGTCAGTTTTTATGAGAGAAACGCACTCATTGGTAACCCTGCTCTTGGAGGTGGACACATTCCGGCAGCATCTCCAACTGCCCAGGAACTCCCCACCTCAAGCCAAGAGGCTAGCCAGCATTTCAACTACTTAGATACCGACTTCATTCAACATACCAAGTCTTTGAAAGGCTGTTTCTCTGGAATATCCCATTCATCACTGATGGTCATATACCTGGAAGAGAAAAAGAAATGGTCCAGTAGCAGTCACATGGCAGCTCCCCCTGGCTCCCCCCACCCCCGCCCTGGGCAGTCCAGCCAGCCCTCAGTTAACACCCACTAAGTGACATAATTGATGTAAGTGTCTACGGCAGCTCATCAACACTGTAAGGAAACGCCATGTTTGAGGACCTGCTGCACTGCACCCTGCTGTCCACCCCAGAGCAGGGGAAGGACGGGTTTTATTGGTAAAACCGGTGAGGGTGCTGGTGTGAGGAGGTGCTACTGGCCAGTGTGAGGGGCCAGGGATGGGAAATGGTCCTACATGATGTGACCAGAGGTGGAGCCACCCAGAAGGCAAGAGCCCTCCCCCTGACCCGGGCCATTCGCAGGGTGAAGGTCCAGGTTCGCACGGTCCGAGCCTGAGCTCACTTGTCAAAATCGGTGAAGAGGTTGACTCTGAAGGTGTGCTGCTTGTCCAGCTTGTAGCCGTCGGCATTCTTCACGGCATCCAGGGCATGGGCAGGAGATGCATACTCCAGGAAAATGTAACTGAAGCGAGAAAGAGGCAATGCGTGGACATTCAGATCAGCGTGCTCGTGCTCAATACACACGAGACCTCCACAGCTGCAAACATGGCACGCACCCGGGACCGTGCCCCTCCATGTCCGAGGCAGCCAGATCTCGGGCAGAGCAGTTCCCTGAGCATGAATGAAATCCCAACAGAAGCTCCCCATTCATCAAAACGCCCATCAGCTTGACTGTGGTAATGGTTTCATGGACGTGTGTGTCAAAATGTGTGGAAGCATACACTTTAAAACTGGGCACGTTTATTGTATGTCAACTATTTCATAAACTTGTTACAAAACCTGAAGTCATAAAGATTATGGCCCTGGCCCGGGTGGCTCAGTCGGCTGAGCGCCGTCCCATGCACCAAGAGTTGCTGGTTCCATTCCTGGTCAGGGCACATGCCGGGTTGCAGGCTCGATCCCCAGTAGGGAGCATGCAGGAGGCAGCTGATTGATGTGTAGCTCTCACATTGATGTTTCTCTCTCCCTTTCCCTTCCTCTCTCTCTAAAAATCAATAAAAATTTAAAATGAAAACACCCCCTGAATTTGGAATGATTGAAAAGAAAAGTCATAAATATTATGTGTTAGGTTGCATTACAGGCGAAGTCACAAAGGTTCTCAAGGGTGTTTCATTATAAACAAAATAGAACAGGTATCCTTCCACCTGTTTCCACATAGAAAACATTAGGAGCAGCACTGTGCTTGACCACTTTTTTGTAAATTAAAACTATGCTCGGTAGTTTCCAAAATCTCAACTACATAAACGTGATCACCTTCTCACCCCTACCCTCTCAAAGACTGACATTTACATGAAATGTAAACAGAGAATGTCTGACTAGACACTCCTTCCTCTGATGACCACCTGATCACCAGCCGACACTGCCCACAGCAGGCCCCAATCCAGCGGTTCTCAACCTGTGGGTCGCAACCATCGGAAAACACATATAGCACATCAGATATTTACATGACGATTCATAACAGTAGCAAAACTACAGTTATGAAGTAGCAACAAAAATAATTTTATGGTTGGGGGTCACCACAACATGAGGAACTGTATTAAAGGGTCGTGGCATTAGGAAGGTTGAGAACCACTGCTCCAATCCCACTCCTAGGTCCAGAGCAAGGAAACAAATACACGTGCTCAAAAGGGGACACATGGGAGACTGTGTAACTGGGAAACACGAAGTCAACTGATAGGAAGCAGATGACCTGTCGTGAGAGAGGACAGAAGCCACAGCATTTAAATAAAGGAAGCAGAGTTCCAGTCACCAACACAGAAGACCCACTACGGGATTTCAAAAGCAAACTGCAAGACTGCCTATTATGCTATCATTTGTAAGAGGCACTATTTTATTAGTAGTAACACCAGAAAAAAAAAGCTGATTAAGCAATGACAATGCTTTCACCTAAACCATAAAAAATATCCCCATTTGTGATGTTAAAACGTGAAAAAAAAAAAAAAGCTGGTCTTAGAATCAATGCAATTGCACGTGTAAAATTTCCCTGGAATTCTGCCAGCTCCCAGGTCCTTGGGCCCGTTACCCTGGGTGAACCGTGTGCCCACGGCTCTGACAGCAGCTTGAAACACCAAGCTCTGATTCTGTGAGCGCCCAGCAGCCGGAGGCCTGAGGCCTGTCCCGAGCGAAGCACACACCTGTGCGGACCACGTGCTGCGGCAGAGCTTCAGCTGAAGGTGAGCGCCCGCCGGACTGAGGCAGAGCCAGAGAACTCGGCCACTTGGTG